GATTTGGATCTATTTCAGGATTACTTGTCAATCCCACCAAATCCAAAATATACCCTATTCACCTGAATCAGATGGCAAAACTACAACTACAAAGAGACTTCCCATACCACTGGATCATGGATGAATGGTGACATTTCGGTGTTCAGATACCCCTGGATTTAAAATATTTATTTTCATGTAATTGTCACTGATTATTCCAAAACATACAGGCCGATTTCTAAAACTGGGAGTCTCTACATCCATCTCTGTCGGATCGGTTCCATTTGGTCAAGAGTTTCATTTTGCCTAAATTTATCTTTTTTGCACTTCGCCCATTTTTATAGCAGATAAAGAATTTCATACCTGGCAAAATGCACTTTCCCTTTTTGGGGGGAAGGCAAAAGATCTAGGATCAATCGCAATATACTACATAGAACTTTATGTCTAGGAGGATTTGATTTTCCATTGTTATGATCTTACTTTCATGCAACTGTTCTCTCACAAGTAGTTCAAATGCTTTGCAAAGATTCTCAGATACCTTGGATGCAAATAGAACAGACTTATTCTACACCATATAATCTGCAAGAAATATTTTGGCTACTGCCAACATGTCAGCCCAAATCTATTAAAAACAACTTATTATTGTCAAGTTCAATCAAATTTTGGGATCAAAGAAAGAAACTTCTACCAACAGGTATATCACAACTTGTGACCTTCACATACCAAGTTTGGTTCCCACCGGGCATGAAATCGAACACATTTGAAAACTGGATAAAAGCAGGACTTCCGCACCCCTTTGATCTAGTAAAGGTAAAGGTTCCCTTGCTCGAAAGCCAGTCGAATCCGACTCTAGGGTTGCGGTGCTCATCTCCGTTTCAAAGCCGAAGAGCCAGCGCTGTCCGAAGACGTTTCCGTGGTCATGTGACTGGCATGACTAAACACCAAGGTGCACGGAACGCTGTTACCTTCCCACTGAAGTGGTACCTAGTTATCTACTTGCAATTTCTTGGTTTCGAACTGCTAGGTTGGCAGGGCCTGGAACTAGAGATGGGAGCTCACTCCGTCATGCGGCACACTCGGGTCTTGAACTGCTGAACTACTGACCTTCCACAGCCTGCAGTTCAACGTCTTAACCACTTGAGCCACCGCAGCTCCTTTTGATCCAGCACAGAAGGGCAAGATTCAAGAAAAAAGTTACTTTGATCAAAAAATAGGTCTACAAATTCTGTGGTTTCAGTATCTACAACTTAAAAACCTGATGGAATATTTGGCCGACTGGGGAATGTTCCAAAGAGACAGGACAGGCAAGCAAGTCACCATAGGGTCCCCACTCTCCTAGAGGCCTTCTCTCCAAGCTTTACAAATTACTTTTGATGGAAGACATCTTAAAGATCTTAAAACATCAAAAACGGGAAGATGAGCGGCAATTAACTCTACAGGATACCCACTGGAACGCCATATGGGCCTCACCAGCGAATACTTCCACGATATATAACATTTGTATACAGTTTTTTAAGCTTGCATCTCGTTGGTACCTCACACCACATCAGTGACATAAAATGAACTCAGCCAACAGCCCATCTTGCTGGAAGAAATGCAGCCTAATTGGTACTTACCTTCATTGTTGATGGGACTGCCCAGCGATTCAGCAATTTTGGAAAGACGTGATAAAGCAGATCAACATGATTACTTCCAGGGCTATTTTTGGGCAGGAACGCACAGGAACGGAGTTCCAGCTGGCTTCAGAGTTGGCCATGCCCACTACAGCTAAAACGTCTGTGCTCGTGGCTACAGAGGGAAGGCCTGGAGAGCAAACCCCCCCGCGACTCCAAAGCAGGCAGGCCAGGGGGGCCTCCCTGGAAGGATCGGGGAGACATTTAAGGGCCAGCTCGCCAGGCATCCCGCAGCCGTGGGGCAACTGGGCAAGTCAAGGGAAGACATGGGGGTGTGGCCTATTATGCTAACGAGTTTCTGCTGTTGGGTGTGGCCTATTATGTTAATGAGTTCCTGCTGGGCTTTTTCTACAAAAAGAGCCCTGATTACTTCACAATCTCTCTCCTGTAAACCCAAGATCATGCTCTTGAATGTATGGGATGATTCAATTAAAGAGAATGCCAAGGATCTTACCGCTGTACTTTTAGCATCTGCTAGGCTGACAATAGCTGAGGCATGGAAGTCTCCTTCTCCTCCGACTTTATCTGCTTGGCATGAAAAACCGTGGGACCAATTCGTTATGGCCAAGATTTCTGACTTTCTTCAAAGATCGCAGACAATTCCTACACCAACTTACTCTAAATTTGTTCGTATATGGGCACCTGTACTAAGTTTCATGTGTGAACAGGATTTGCTTCCCTCGAATCCAACCTACCATAAATGGCAAGCACTCTTGAATCTGACCTATTGTTGAGAATTCTCCCCAATGACCACAGCCTTTTGATCTCAGGAACATTATCTTGCTGGGTTTTATTGGATTTCTTGTTATGTTTTGTTGATAGTTGACAAGAGACAGTTTTTGAGTTTTGTGGTTAAATGATATGACTTCTGGTTTGTTCTGCTATAATTGATTGTAATTCTATTTTTCATATTTAATAAAGTGTTGGGAAAAAGCCAAGATCCTGCCCCTACCCCCCCAAAGAAATCACTGAGCTAGTGGAGTTTGCAACCAAATCTGACGGGGGGGGCAACTTCCTCCAGCTTCCTTACCTGACGGTAATTGTGGACACCAGGAGAAGGCGCCAGAACCTATCAAGGAACAAGTATGTGCCAATGCACACGCAGTCAGTACTGTAGCCAAGGCACATACCAATTGGCAAGGAGGCACCAGCTCGATGGTGCCCCTCCAGGAGTCCAAAATCCTGTTCGATTGGGCGGAGAAAAATTTGGTAGGTCTGAAAACAGAACACTTATAGGGTCTAACACACCTCCAAGCCAACTGGCTGAGCAGGATGGATTTAGATCCAGGAGAATGGCGTCTAAACAGATTGATCTTTCAGCAAAATCACAGTTCATCGCCGAATCCCTATCTTAGATCCTTTTACAACATCAAACAAGTCACCAGGTTTGTCACCAGTTTCAAAGTTCAAAAAAGTTCAAAAAGTTTATTACAGTCATAAGACCAGCCACAATAGGTACAGACAAAAGGGCAGTTTATAAATTTTAAAATGGATAAATACATAAAAGGTAAGAACATGCGTGTATATATCAAACCAGTAAAAAAAACCACTCACTTCATTAATTTATTTTCCAGCAACTGACGTTTTCTTCGTCAAGTGACACCGCTTTCTGAGTGCTATCACACAGATACCCCACTGCACTGGTGGTAGCAGAAGATCTCTCCAGAGAGGCGGGGTCAGATGCGATTTCCCCCAGTACCAAGCGCTGCTGCCCCTGCAATCTCCTTTTCATGAATCATGAATTAAGCCAGTGTTGTGTTGACCTGCAAGGGTCCTATCTCACTGTGTCTACGCAGAGTGTGGGGGTGACTGCCTCCCAAGAACCTGTCGCCACTGTGTCCTAAACCCACAGACTAGCGCAGTTCACGGGGGTGGAAGGGACGGGTAATGGATTACTTAGGAAAGAGACAGCAGAAAGAAGCCAGGAAGGGAAGAACTTCTGGACTCAGCAGCACATTCCAGGAAGTCTGGCTGGGAATGTCGAGGGGGTGAAGGAAGCCCGCTCTGCAAACTTCGCCTCCATCCAAAGTAGGACGTAGGTTTCGATACGGCCTGGAGAAGGCTCCCCGACGACAGGCGTCTCTCTCCGACTGCCCAAAGTGGGCCTCCTCCAGCCACCGGGAGGGATCTCCCAGAATGCAACTGCGCTGTGTTCATCTTGCTTCCTGGCTGAATCCAGTTTGGTCCCAGAACCCCAGAGATGAGCCGCCACATCACAAACATGGACCCGGCTGTACGGCACGTTTAGTGCAACGTTTATCGTTTCCCAGTGACCGGACTAAAGTGCTGGGGGGGGGGGGGAGGGGGAAAGGGCAGGCTTTGGAGTGTGCAGTCCTAGTCAGGTTTCCTTTGGAAAGTGTTGGGGCTTCCTTTTGAGCAGACACGGAGACTCTTGGCCTCTAAGAGGTGTGATTCCTCCAGTCGCTAGGGGAGATGCGTGCTGATACTGCGGGGCGCAGAGATGCTGCTGGAGAAAGAAGCCGCAGCAATCAGTCAGTTCCTGACTCGGCCCTGGAACCTCACTAGGTGAGGCCCCCGAGCCGCTTTTTCCTCCCCCTCAACCTAACCTACCTCACTGGGCTGTTGTGAGGGTCAAACGGAAGCAGTGGGACTGACGCCGGCCACTCGGGGCCCCTTTGGGGGAGGGCATGTAGTATGAATGGGAATATAAAGATTTTTTAATATATAGGTTTTTTTTGTTCTTGATTCTTCATATTCATATTTTTCTTGGTTTTATGGATTTCTCTTTTAAGTAATATTTTATTAGAATGTAAAGAAAGGCCTGTTATATAGAAGACGTTCCCTTGTAGGTCTGATATTGCTAGCAGACAAGATAATAGGTACAAAGTTCATGATTCTGTAGTTCTTAAAGGCAAAACCTTGTAATCTCTGGGTCAGACAAGATTCTGGTCTCATATCAGGGAAAAAACACTTTTGTTTAGGGTATGAAGAATCCTTCCACATTATCATTTTAGGTTAGGTTAAGTAAACACTTAGATTTTATGTAGGTACATCTCTCTTTACATCTGGCCAATCAGAGGATTATTACTCAAATTACCATTGTCTTTTATAACTAATTATGCTTTTTGAATATTGTTTTCTTGATTATGTCAGTCCATGTATAAAATATCATGTATTTCCTGAATATGTTCAGAATATGTTCAAGAAGAAGAAGATGAAGAAGAAAAAGAAGAAAGTAGTCAATTTTTGATGAGTTATTTGGTCCAATTGTTTTCCTGTTAATTGAAGCATATTTCCCGAATATGCTGAGAAGAAAGTAGTCAATTTTGGATGGACTATTTGCTTCAATTGTTTTTCTGTTAATTGAAATAAAACATAGATCTTCCTCCTCATTTGACTTCATTTTTGACATGAAATTTAATATGTACAACAGGCAGGACACCAATGCACTAAGTTAATGGCCCAGCAACTCAGTGTCGGGTGGGGGGGTGGGGTAATATTAGCCATTAGCCAGTCTTCACGTGTCTCAGAAGTGAACGTCTGGTGGGAAGCTCTCCTGCCCCTATAAAGCAACTGGTGGTGGAGGACATTTGGATTTCGTTCTTTGACCAAATTATAAAGGTCCCTGTTTAATCAAGAAGAGATTCATAAGCTCCTTTCTTCACTTCCCCTAGAGTTGCAAACCCAAGACACACCTTTAGAAGATGGGAAACTTTCCCAAGAACGTACGCATTTCGCAACACCTCCGCCCTCAGACAGACAACGACACCCAGAGGAACCATGACTGTATTTCCCAGTTCTTCTCCCAGCCGAGTCCTTCACTGGCGTTTCGTTTCCTTCAGCGGGTCGTAATTCAGCAAGTGGGTCAGGGAAGTAATCCCAAACAAGAACGTTTGGACGGCCCACTGGAACTGGGTTGACGCATCTGTGATGCCCTTGTCCCTGCAGGGGAGACACAAGCCAGCCAACGTTCAAACGCCGTCCACACTCCCCAGCTCCCAGTAGTGAGAGGAGACATCCACGCAGCCCTCCTGTGGTGTATCCAATGCAAGGCAAACTGTATGTGAATCACCCTATTGAAACACCATGTGAAGCTTCGTCCTGGGCTAGGATCCAAATCCATCCAATCATATTGGTAGCCCAGGAAGAACCAGCCAATCAAGTACCAGCAAGCTCCCTGAGCGGAAACGTCCGTGATTGGTCTTTATGTAGACAACCTAATTGGTTGGTGTTGTATAGTAGGGCGTGGCTACATTAGCCGGGAGAGTTTAAAAGTGGAACAGCTTCAATGTAAAAGCTGTTCTGGCTATTCATGTTGAGCCGTGTTGGGAGTTGTGTTTGAGTTGTTGAATAAGGCTGAATCTTTGCCGAATCACTCTCCGACTACTTCGTTAAGTGAGCGACTTAACATCTCCGATTCACAAAAGGGAAGGCTGGAGATGAAATGAAAATGTATGGTTATGCAGGGCACCTCAGCTGGGAGGACCCTGTGGGCAAACACTTCTGGACTCTTGAAAGAGGACTGTGGGGGCCACCACAATACGACTGCCCTGCTGGCGATGGTGGGGCTCTTAACAACATCTTGGGACGTTCCCATCCAAGCATCCTATGACAGGAGCAGCGTTTTTCCTGAATGGGTGTTCCCTGCTGACCACATTCTGAAATGCCTCCTCTAAGGAGGTGGAGGAAACTTAAAACTGGCTGTTTGCTTCTGGGAAGAAGATGAAGAAGATGAAATTGGATTTATACCCTGCCCTTCACTACCCGAAAGAGTCTCAGAGCAGCTTACAAATCTCCCTTCCCTTCCCCTCCCCACAACAGACACCCTGTGAGGGAGGCGGGGCTGAGAGAGCTCCGAGAGAAACTGCTCCGGAGAGAACAGCTCTGAGAGAACTGTGACTGACCTAAGGTCACACCAGCAGCTACATGTGAAGGAGTTGGGGATCAAACCCGCTTTTCTCAGATTAGAGTCCATGCTCCTAACCACTACACCCAACCAGTGTTCCCTCTAAGCTGCGTTAGTGTGAGCTAGCTCACAGTTTTTTAGCCTCCGGCTCACACATTTTTGTCTCGGCTCAGGAAGGAGGGCTCCAGAGCAAGCTAATTTATGCAGTAGCCAAATCACCTGCTCACAACTTTAATGCCAGTAGCTCACAAAGTAGAATTTTTGCTCACAGGACTCTACAGCTTAGAGGGAACATTGCACCCAACTGGCTCTTAAATAAGCAAATGTATCAAACTCATGGACAGCAAGCATTTGGGGGGCCCTGTGTCCGATTTGCAGCCAAATAACTACTTCCACCCCCATTCCACACAGATCCACGATACACAAAAAGTCGGGGGGGGGGTCACAATAATCTGTCCCCAGCTGGCACCCCATCATCACCATCACACACGACTATGGAAAGTCTCCTCCAGAGTAATGTGTATATGGGGGGTATTGGCTGGGAAAGGGGAAACGGCCGCTCCCCCCCCCCTTCAAGAAATGTTGGATATTATGAACTTATTGCCAGTTGCGCTGACGTGAACCGAGCAGTGCCTTTGCAGTGCGCCACTGGGGAATGTGCATCCTGACGCGGCAGTGTACGAAATACTCAAGTGATGGTCGGACGCTGCACATTCCTCAGTGTTTGGAGGTGAAGCATAACATTTTAAATTCCCAGCAGTGCGATTTTTGCCACAGATGTTCCTCAACGTCAGGTGAACGTGAATAAGGGCTGGTTTTTCGGCTCATGTGGACCACAACCCCTTCACGGCCCCCTTGACGTGCCTGACGAAAGTAAGTCTCCTGCCACAATAAAGTTGTGCCACAAGACCCTGACACTACAGCTATTGTGCCCGTCTTCTAATTTCACAGTCTGAAATCTGCCACTGTAGAAGAAAATCAAGGCGCCAGGATTGCTGCGGGGAGCACACAGAATTAGCCAAGCTAATGGCAGCTGTTCTCCAAACCTCTGAGTCAGCTCTAACCAAGGTGGCACACCTGCCGGGGGAAACTCACAGGACCTGAATGCCCCTTCATCTAAAATAATGACAATAAAAACTTCAGTTGTTGTAGATTCTCCGGGCTGTATGGCCGTGGTCTTGGCATTGTAGGACCTGACGTTTCGCCAGCAGCGGTGACTGGCACCCTCAGAGGTATAACACAGAAAGATGGAGTACTCTCTGTGTCAATGTAATAAAAATAGTGGGCAGGTAATTTATATCACCTCAGGAAGGTGGGGGTAGGGCTGAATCATTATCTTCTAAGAGTTTCCCAGGCTGTGAACATGCTAATGGAGGAGCTTTCCTGAGGAGGTTCTTTTGCATATGGATCGGCTGTTGAAATTCTAATCTTATCTGTAGTGCTGTTGTAAAATGTAGAGAATTTTGTATGCTTCTCCACATGGAAATGGAGCACGGTAGTGTGAAAACGAAACATGCTTGTTTGTCACGTGACCCGTCAGAAAGGGTAAAGCCTGGCCAACAGGCCTGCTCACGTCCACAAGAACCAGCGTCCCCGTCCCGCCATGTTCTAAACTACAACCAGTTTGAAAGTTACGGGGCAACAGGTGCGTAAGGGGTTCTTTATTGGATAACACACCAAATGTGTTTCTCCACAGGAAAAGGGGTGTAATGCAGGAAGCCGAAAACCTGTGAAGAAATGATGAATGGACGCTGTGGGACGTGACTGTAAGCCAGGGGCCCCCAACCTTTTGGAGCCTGTGGGCTCCTTTAGCGTTCTGACACAGCGTGGCGGGCACAGCCACAGAATGGCTGCCATGGCTTCACACAGCAAAGATCTTGGTGCAGCATCAGAACATCAGAACATCAGAGACGCCAATGTTGGATCAGGCCAAAGGCCCATCCAGTCCAACACTCTGTGTCACACAGTGGCCAGAAATACCAGTGCCATCAGGAGGTCCAGCAGTGGGGCCAGGACATTAGAAGCCCTCCCACTGTTGACCCCCCCCAAGCACCAAGAAGACAGAGCATCACTTGCCCCAGAGCCCCTAGCTATACCTTGTGGCTAATAGCCACTGATGGACCTCTGCTCCATATGCTTATCTAATTCCCTTTTGAAGCCGTCCATGCTTGTAGCTCCCACCACTTCCTGTGGCAGTGAATTCCATGTGTTAATCACTCTTTGGGTGAAGAAGTACTTCCAGCTGCTGCCAAAGAAACATTTTTTAAAAAATCTGGACAGCCAATCGGAAGCCTTGCTGAGCAAAAGCCCCACCGGGGCCCGCCCACATTCTAAAAACACTTGGGCTGCAATTGCACACACTAAATAATCCCTTTCACCGCACTTTGAAAGTGGATTTTAGAAAGAGGAGGAGGAGGAGGAGGAGAGGAGATTGGATTTATACCCCGCCCTTCACTCGGAGTCTCAGAGCAGCTTACAAACTCCTTTCCCTTCCCCTCTGCACAACAGACACCCTGAGAGGTAGTTTGGGCTGAGAGAGCACTTTCGAGGACTGCCCTTGAGAGGACAGCTCGGAGAGAACTCATGACTGACCCAAGGTCATCCAGCAGCTGCAAGTGGAGGAGTGGGGAATCAAACCCGGTTCTCCCAGATTAGAGTCCAACACACAGATCTGCCCTCACAGAGGAGGAAAAGCTTGTACCTGAAGGCGGGCTGGGGAGGGGGGGCTCTGCAACTTACCTGGCTGCTTCTTGCTCCTTGTGGCCTGACTGAGGGCTGCTGGGAGCAGGGGGTGGGGCTTGTTGCATGTGCCCGCCCCCTGGGCTCCTTACTGCCGGAGCTCTGCTCCTGTGCACTCCCGCAGGAAATGACCCCTGTCCACCGGTATCTTTCTGCCCATAATTGACACCCATTCTTACGAGTCCTCTCCTCTGCTGCCGACAGGAACAGTTCCCTGCCCTCCTCTAAGGGACAGCCATTCAAATACTTCAAGAGACCCATCCTGTCCCCCCATAACCTCCTCTTCCCCAGACTGAAAGAAAGAGAGACCGCTTACCGGCACAACTTCAGAGCATAAATTGTTTCAGCGACGTGAACTATCCAAGCAACGGCATACCTGAAAACGAGGGGGGAAGCATCATTTTTGGACTATGTTCCTTCACATCTGGCCCGAGACATTCCAGTGCCCAAGGCTGATGGGTCCCATCCCCCGCCACAATATAATTAAAATGTGGGGACAATATGGGGGGGGGCTCTCCTGCCCCTCACTGAGCTGTACCCTTTGTGCAGCTCCCGTTCATGTCAACCCAGGACTTAAAGGGGGGGGGGAGGTATTGCATCTACAACCCTTCAAGAGAAGAAAAAGGAGAGGAGAAGAGATTGGATTTATACCCCATGGCCCTTCACTACCCAAAGGTGTCTCAGAGCGGCTTACAATCTCCTTTCCCTTCCCCGTCCCACAACAGACACCAGCTGTGAGGTAGGCAGAGCTGAGAGAGAGCTCTTTTGAGAACAGCTCTTGAGAGAACTGTGACTGCCCAAGGTCACCCAGCTGGCTGCACGTGGAGGAGTGGGGGATCAAACCTGGTTCTCCAGATTAGAGTCCGCCGCTCTTAACCACCACACCAAGCGCCCAGGGCGGGACCCCAAACTGCCTTCTCAAGCACGCCTGATCAAGACCTTGCTCTTTTACCGAGCAGCTGACCCTGACCTTTAAGCCTCTGGGGTAACCAGGAGAGAAAAATCACTGAGCACGGAAATCTGAGCTCCTTTTCCAAATCCAGCTTACCCAACGTTCAGCGAGGCTTTGTGATTCTCCACCAAGTATCTTGTGAAGGTGCCCAAAGGTCCCAGGGAGTCATAGGGGACGGTTGCCGGTGAAAAGACGGCCCACTAAGAGAGAGGAAAAGGAGACAGGTGAATTCCCGAGCATTTACCTGCCAAGCCCAGGGAAATTCAGGGACCCAAAAAAACAGGTCTATCTTACACAACAGAAGAGTTTTCTTTCACACAACACGCCCCCAGCCCCCCTTTCCTTTTAGGGTAACATGTGGCCAAAACAAGCCTTACCAGGTGCAGTGTAGTACACTGGCCACATGTGCACTCCGGGCAGGACAGAAGGAATTTATCCGTCTGGTTTCGCATTTGCCTGGCAGCTCATTTAAGCTGTGCTCTCAAGTCTCCACACCTGCAATGTTGACCCATGCACACCATAGACCTCCAGCCCAGCTGGCAGGTATGAGGCCATGACTCAAGAGCAGAGCATCTGCTTGGCATGCTGAAGGTCCCAGGTTCAATCCCCGGCCTCTCCCAGGTCAAAGGTTCAGAAAGTTGGAGATGTGAAAAACCTCCACCGGAGACCCTAGAGAGGGTGGGCAGTAAGTGACCGTGACAGACCAAGAATCAGACTCTGTGTGCAAGGTAACATGACACGTGCATAGTTCCCTCTAAGCTGAGTTGGTGTGAGCTTGCTCACAGATTTTTAGCCTCCGGCTCACGGATTTTTGTTTTAGCTCAGGAAGGATGGCTCCAGAGCAAACTGATTTATGCAGCAGCCAAATCGCTCGCTCACAACTTTAATGCCAGTAGCTCACAAAGTAGAATTTTTGCTCACAAGACTCCACAGCTTAGAGGGAACATTGGACGCGTGTGTAGCAGGAGCGCATGCATGCGCTGGGCTTGCTTCTGGGTGCGTTCTTCCACTCTGCCAGCATCGCTTTTAAAACTGGGTGCATCTCCCTCCGTACCTCCACCCCGTCCCATTCAAATAATTAACTACTGGGGGTGGGGGTGGGCAAGGCTGTAAACAGCCAGGTCTTGCCATTCATGTGCCCCTTGGGCCACGACCCACCCAGTGCTTTTCCAATCTGTGTCAGCAGAGACCCAAAATATAAACAAACAAACAAACAAACAAACAAACAAAAAGGAGGGCAAAACACCCAGGGTGCAAATAAATGATACCTTCAAACCTGGGGAGCCAGCGCAGCCTCCAAAGGCAGGGCTAGGGCCCGAGGGATCCAGGTTCAAATCCCTGCTCGCCGAGTGCCCTTGGGCCCTCAGTCTGATCTACCTTGCAGGGCTGCTGTGAAAGAAAGGTTCTAGGCTGCTCTCGTCTCTTTGGACAGAGGGCAGGATAACAAAAATGCACTTATTATTACTATCCCAATTAATAATAGCATTTAGCACTAGAAGAGGAGGAAGAAGAGATTGGATTTATACCCCGCCCTTCACTTGGGAGTCTCAGAGCGACTTACAAACTCCTTTCCCTTCCCCTCCCCACAACAGACACCCTATGAGGTGGGCAGGGCTGAGAGAGCTCTGACAGGAAACGCTCTTTTTCAAGAACAGCTGTGCCAGAACTATGGCTTGCCCAAGGTCATCCAGCAGGTGCAAGTGGAGGAGTGGGGAATCAAACCCGGTTCTCCCAGATTAGAGTCCGCGCACTTCACCACGACACCAAACTGGCTCATCATCATTATTATTATTAGGAACAAATAGGGTTGCCAGGTCTGGGTGGGAAAACACCTGGAGACTTTGGGGGGTGGAGCCTGGAGAGGGCGGGGTGTGCGGAGGGGAGGGGCCTCGGCATCATACAAGGCCTAGAGCTCACCCTCCAAAGCAGCCCTTTTCTCCAGGGCAGCCAATCTCCATCGACTGGGGATCAGCTGCAATGTTCCCTCTAAGCTGTGGAGTCCTGTGAGCAAAAATTCCACATTGTGAGCTACCAGCATTAAAGTTGCGAGCCAGCGATTTGGCTGCTGCATAAATTAGTTTGCTCTGGACAGGGCCGGCTCACTCACTAGGCGAACTAGGCGGTCGCCTAGAGCAGGACGGCCCTTAGGGGCACCAAACTGAACCCAGCCCCATACTCTGGGAGTTTCTTGATTATTTGTTTTTCATTCTTCCTAAAAAGTATTTATTTTTGAAAATTGGTGGGCACACCAGGGGTGGGGGGGCATCGTCAGAAGGGATCCTCGCCTAGGGTGCAAAATAAGCTGGGGCCGGCCCTGGCTCTGGAGCCCTCCTTCCTGAGCGGAGACAAAAACGTGTGAGCCGCGGGCTAGAAAAACCGTGAGCCAGCTCACACTCACTCTGCTTAGAGGGGACACTGGCTGTAAGGGCGGGAGATCTCCAGGCCCCGCCGGGAGGCTGGCAAGCCTAGGAACAGGTACCCTTAGCAGTCATCATTCCACCAAGAGCGATGCTCTGAGTGGCTTTGCGATGCCCAGAAAAAGGGGGCTCCCTCCCTCCAATCCCGGAGGGACTCACGCCGTAGTAGCCCAGGCCGGCCGCCACCAGCAGCATCCACGCCGGGCGGGTGCGTCGGAAGTAGGTGCTGCTGCCGCTGCTGCTCCTCCGCGGGGTCTCGCCCGGCGCCATCGGGGCTCCCCCGGGGCCGAAAAGGACCTCCGCGACGCTCTCCCGCCCCCGCGCCAAGCGCCGCCCCCAGGACATCCTCCGGCCGGGGAGGGCGTGGCCTCGGGAGGAGAAGCGGAGCCGATAGGGCGGACGCGGGGGCGC